GCAGTTGGACTAGATGATCGTTGTAGGTCCCTTCCAACTGAAAATAATTCTATTCTATTCTATATTAAGACAGACTAACTTTGAGGCTGCTATTGGGTGAACACATTATTACAGAACACCATTATTTCAATTAAGCACACCAAAACAGAGAGGCATAGTAATTATCTCGCCCGAGTTTGCTGTCTCCTTGCTGTACAGCACACAGGATAGAAGCCGATCTCCCCAAATCCACAAACACAGACGATATAAAGAGCAAACTTCCAGTCTGCCAGCTCTCTCATCGCTGGGCACAAACAGCACCGGCCAGTTGTCCTTGCAACAGGGGTGAAACCCCTTGACGAGCCTCCATCAACCGCCGGAGCTGGCTGTGAGCTGTAACCTGGCCACAGACTAAAAACTCAACATCCTGTTCAGCTATTTTTGTCGAGTGTTTTGTTGTTTGGCAAAAATTCAACAATAAGCAATAATTTTGCCAACGCCACCTGCCTAGAGAAGTGAAAAAAGTTAGTGGGAAAGAAAGGAAGCACGGACAAACTGCAATGCAGCAACAACCAGAATCAACAGTGGGAAACTCTCCTCCTAACGCAAAATAAAACAACAACCAGAACCTTGCAGTCCTACCCTAAGATTGAAATAAGTAGGCGTGAACGGGGAAAAAAGGACCCACCCCAGCTATGAGATGCAACAATCTTACGAGTTAACACTTACACTGCTTCAACTTACCACGCCTGGACAAAGCAGCAGACAAAAAGCACTCCAGCTACTGCCATTAGACGCGGCAGCGAGGAACAGGTTTGCAGACATCCACGCAAGGACGTCACCCTCCAGGATGCCACGCTATTAAATATCGAGGACCAGCACACCCACCTCCCCCCCGTGTCGGAACCAGATCCCCGTTTGACGAAGTGCCTTCTCTAGTAGGTTTTAAATGACTCAAAATGCTCAGGGATAACCTCCGCGTCTGCCAGGAGCCTTCCAGAAGTGGAGCGACAGTTTGAAAACGGTTTTCATTTGTTCATTTTCACCCCATTACTCCTAGATGCACAACCTCTGGCTATTTCAAGGCTCAGAAAGCTTCAGCGGCAGCTCGGTACAAACATCTGAAGAGTCCTTGTCCTCGACACTACTGCCCAGTTGCAAAAGTCAACGATTTTCTCTTCAATCCCTGCTCGGTTTCCCAATGGCAGAGCTCAAAGGAACGTTCCCGCATTCGGGTTAGAGGAAAATACTCCAGCATGACACAGGACATCATTTCTCTTCTGGAGGGCTGGGGGAAGTGTTCCAGTTTCCATCCAGTTTATCATCCACCATCTCGATTAACTACTGTTGGGTTTTTTTTGGCCATTGACGCTTTTCAATTATTCAAAGAGAAGCCCTACATTTTATACCTCTCCTGCCTGTGATTTTTCATAATTTGATGGAATAATTGCAATCCTCTCTCCAACCCTTCCCAATTTACCCCATCAATTAACACATTTCCTCAAGTGATTTTAATAATTCAGTCTTAGAGACGAAGTCTAATGTATCAAGTAGGAGCAAGATGCAAAATCCAAACCCAAACTTAACCCAAAACTCAGCTCTTGCCTGCACTCTGCCCAACAAACTTCAACTGGGTTAAAAGGCCACCTCCTACACTGACCTGCTCCTGCTTTATTTTTCATATATATTTTCCAAAAGCCTTCCAAGCCACTGCAATTTATTTCCCCAACTATTCCACGGGCTGTCAATTTTTCCCCCCCCCCGCTATCTCCCAGTTTCTTTTGCCCGTTTGTCTTCCTGTGCAGTTCAAGCTGGCACTCGCCCGCTGTCCCCCCTCTTGCTGTGCACCCATCAGCACCACCACCAGCAGTTTTAAAGTTAACTTTAAACGTAACACACACAAGAAATTGGAATTGCCAAGGCAAAATTTGCTGCAGCATGTGTCTGGAATTGCAGCCAACGATCCAAGTGGGCAGCAGGTCAGAAAAAAAAAATACACCCTCTGTAATTAAATGTCTTCATATTAGATTAACCAAAAAAAGTCATTAGAAATAAATGAATTAAGTAATTCTGCAACACAAGTTAAATGGCAGTCATAAGAGAAAGAAAAACTGCATTGCCCAAGCTGACTGAACAAGATAATTATTTTAACAAAGCTTTTTGCAAAATAAATTGCACGGAAGTTGAGAAACCTTCTGAAATGAAGTTTTTTAAAAAAATAATCTTTGGCTCCTTCAAGGAAGTGGAGGAGGAAAAAAAAAAAGAAAAAGGAGAGAGATGGTATTGTGTCCTTAACAGCAGTTTGAGAACCAGAACAAAGCCAGAGAGAGTTTCAAAGCACAGCAGCTCTCCCCACTCTGCTGTTTGTTCTGCTCATAAGCAGACAAGCTGTTTCCTTTCATCTGGAAAAACTCACACAATAAGAAAAATACCTCAATAGAATCCGAGTCTGTAATAACAAAGCCCAAGGGGCAGCCAGAAAGAAATCTTTTGGCCAGTAAAAAATATTTGGTGTTCGGATCCTCAGAGAGAGCTGACTGCTTCTGGGTGTAGGGCATACATACATCCTACCGCTGCCAGAGGAGGTCAGGGGATTCATGGAGGCATTTCTTGTTCCCGTCTCTCCTCCCCACACCCAGATGAAGGCTGCAACCCTCGCAGGTCAGCACAAAAGCGAGCGGAGGAAGCAGGAGCAAGGAGATAATAGTGAGAAGGAAGCACATGAAAGACTGCACACAGGGATGAAATGTCTCTCTGTAACACCCTTAAGGAAGGGGAAGAGAAGGAATTAAAAGCAAAAGTGCAGGGTCCAACCTAAATTCTGAATCCAGACCTGTGGTAGCTATGCTGCGGTTCAGAAGACCCGGTAAAAATGTCTCTCTGAAATACTGTTTTGATAAATATGCCATCTCCTTGTGGAATTCAAATCTCCAACTGTTCAACTGGCATGGACATCTCTGCAGTAACAACACATGCCACAGATTGTGAGTTAACTTGAATTACATTTCAGATCTGGGGAGGGGAGGATGTCAGTGGGAGGTTTATGAACAGTATGCTCTAGCTCTGATGTTGTTATAACCAGATGGCTTCAGCTGTATCATTTACAATAAAAAACAAACAAAAAAAAAAGTGAAGTTGACAAATAAATCATTAATTCACCTGCAACTGGAACAATCTGAACAAGGTGCCTCCTTCGCGGATCTCATTTCAGAGCTTCCATGACAGCGTATTCTGCAACTGCACCTGGCTCTGCAGGAAGGGCTGGGACAGACGAGCCCCAGAACAGATTATTTTCCTCCAGGTATCTCCCCATCCTCCGGGGAAGGAGGCTGCAAAATCTGTATCGCTTTCCTGCAAACACCTCCCCAAAAAAGGCCGAGGACAGGCAATGTGAACACCCGTTTACTTTCTTCCAGGCTTGTCTGCTTCCCAGGCCAAGGCTGAGCCAGGGACGCTCCTCAAACAGTTGGTCACTCTAACATGACAAGGATAAAAGGTCTCGTTCAGGTTTGAATATTTCAGTAAACAATGCAGTTACTGCAGCATAATTAGACATCGCTGTGCCACACAGACAACTTCTGCAATTACCTGGCAATGAACTTTTCATGTCTGTATGCAATTACAAGCTAGAAATGCTGGGTTTGAGTTCTGACAGGGTAGTGGGGAGAATCTCATTATGAATAAATGCTTTGCTTACCTAAAAGGAAATGCACGCTAAATCCAATATAAAAGGAATTAGTGGTGTTCGAGCAATAGATGTAATATGGGAATTTGTGAACCACATAAAAGGAAGGCTTCACTATACAGACGGTTGCGTGTTTATGATGAAAGCCTCGGTGGGGGAACACAAAAAGGGGCAGGGACCCTCTCATGAGTCACCATTTGATAAAAATAGACAGCAGCTAGATTAAACACATGAGCGTATGAACGGAATTCTCCTTCACGCAAGGGACAAGAGGCTGTGAGAGGAAGTATAACAGAATGAAAAATCAGAGACAACAGATACCTAATCTATTTTCTAGACAAAACAGAGTTATTCTCCATAATCCATTACGTGCCCTACCTGACCATCTTAAGGTCAGACCAATTTGCCACTGCCCTGGCACTGCGTATTTCAATCTAACCTCCCTGGAGATTTGGGGCTAATGATGACATAAATGGATGGTGTCTATCCTACCCAGACATCCTGTGTTGCACCTTAGTGTTATAAAACAGATGGCTTATTATACTGCTCTCCCTTCCCACATCTAAACAGGTACAGGTAAAAGGAAGGACCATGGGTCAGCTTCACGCAGCTATTATTAAAACCAATGCTCTCTAATATTTTGGAAATACCTGCTATGAGAAATAACACAGGTTTGCATTGCAATTTGCGTGCAACATTCTGTAATAAATCCCATCTGAGTTCCAGGAACAGCATGTCACTATCAGTATATGGCAGCAGACTGAAACTGAGCCTTTTGGGAGCCGGTTTTAAACCGGGAAGTCTTAAAAACAGAAAGAAAAAAAAAAAAGACAACAGATACCACACAGTACAAAATAGTAATTATTTATATTTTCAAAAAGGAAAAAAAAAAAGTTACCAGCTATTTTGAAACTTCTTCCCTGTAAGAAGAGTGACTAATAGAAAGGAACAGGACTGGCTCCTATACAGTCAGCAAGTCAGGTACAAACAGTTGTTAAGAATCATTTAGCAACTCAGGACAGGGACTTTTGACGCAGCGCTCATGAACAATAAAATTTCTCTTTTTTTTTTTTTTTTTTTAAAAAAAGGGGGAGGAGGGAAATAAAGCAGGGAAAAATGCCAAAAACATTTCCCACAATATCTAAAAACAGTAACCGTTGTTCTCGTCAGACAGCACGCTCCAGATCAAGGATTTTCTAGTCCTTTCAAAAACCAATACAGACTTGCCAAAGGCTGCCTTCAGTCTATTCACACCCTCCAGAACACACAGCCTTTCACTGTCCCCTTTCACTTCAACCTGTCATTTTATAAAAGGTGGTGTTTTTTTTTTTTTCTTTTTTCTTTTTTTTTTTTGCAATTAACATACAAGTGCTACTAACAGAGAAACTGATCTTCTTGTTGCTGGATGGCAATAAGGAGTTACACAAACGTCCAGTTTTTAGCTCAGCTGGAAGGACTTAAATTCTTTTTTTTTTTTTTTTTTTTATATAAATATTACTGGAGCTCCCATCAGGTACTTCCTTTCCAGAACCTCACTGGAAATTCTTTTTAACCCTCCAACGCTCTCCAAAGCTAAAATGTCCTCTTGCTCCAGGCATCTGACGATTTGTTCTGTGCTGCCAGACGCAGAGACGTTGTTTTCCCCAGTACCACTGCTGGGTTATTCCGACTTGGGTCGGTGCCTAAACCGAACCCTGTACTTAATTGACTCAGCCAAGTCGAAGGGAACACACAGACGATGCAGCGACAGGGATTCATTAGGTTGAACAGCCCCAGAGCCCCAGGCCCACCCTCCCCCCTCTCCCCAAGTTACTTGGTGCTGTTTTAAAAAGTCTGGGTGTCACGAAGCAGTCTCTTCCCCCCAACAACAGAGTAAAAGCTCCACAGATTTCGCTGTCTACCTGGTGGTCAAGGTTACAGCAGCAACAGCTGATGCTGCTTCCAGAAAAACATGGGGCGGTGTGACAGACAGGACTTTAGGATTGCTTCAGTCGCTTACGTGGGGGTCCCAGAAAGGGACACTGTGCAGAGGCCAAAGAGCGGTATGCCTCAGCCACCAAATGGGGATGCGATACTACCATAGACTTCCAGCCTGATGTCTCCATGACGTCAGAAGCATGACTAGAAATAAGAGAATAAATACGAAGTTATCAACTGGAGATAAAAAGAATTAACTAAATAGAGTCTTTCCACATGCCCGAGATTCCTGACATTTTTAGTGTACTGTTTTAGTACACAGTATCACTCTGGATGTATGTTAGATATCTGTTGTGAAGATTGCAAGCTTTGGCTCTGCTGGCACAATTGTATGCTGTACAGTCCTTCAACTTAAGGATAAAAAGCTCAAACAAACATGATCCCAGGTGGAGGACAGCAGGAACACAATGCTCATCTACCCTGACTACTCAGCACAGAAGTATTTTAAATCAGTATAGAAAATACTGAGAAAAACTGTATTAACTGACAAATAGGACTAAAAATGTGTCCAGACATCAAAGTAGTTGGTAGTCATTCTACATCTACTGAAAGGTCTGTTATGTTAGGAGTTGCAAATAGTCCCTCAATACCAGGGACTACCTGATACTCTACCACCTAGAAGTTCTTGTGATCTTAGGAAGACATCCATAATAGCTCACAGAGACAGTCCTGCTGTACACTGAACAGTTCCAGCAGGACAAGACTAATCTGCCCCAGGGCAACGCCACTTCTGGGATGCCAGATAAACGAAGGATCACAATGGGAGAACTAAAAAAGAAAAATAATAGAGGAGAATCTCCCCTGCATATGACAGTTCACAAGTTGTGAACCCTATTGCTAATAAACACCACCTTCCTCTAGATTTGTTGCATCCTGGAACAAAAGTAAACTCACTAGTTAATGAAGTCCACTGCTTGAGTTTTCAGTTGATCAGCACTATGTAGGTCAGCTAGAATGAGGATCTCAGCTGCATTTTCCACAGACAGGTTACTGCACAGTGCATCCTCACACATCACCTTCAGACGTTCCAGAGCATACTGCAAAATACAAGCCAAAGTACAGTTACAAAGAAGAAAACACCTTCTCAGGCCTGATGTGAAGCCTTACTTGTGCTCCTCCACTCTTCAGTAACAAACTACTCTATTACGCTGAACAGACCTCTCTGCTTTGCTATATGCATCTGAACTGTACTCAAAGAAGTGACAGCAAAACCAAAGGAGAATCATGATGTGCCCACCCTGAGGAAAGCAATGGAGAGGAAACATACCCACCATAACTCTCATCCCGGCCTTCTTGTGTTACAGGCTTACTGGTGCTGTGTTCATGCTTTGAAATGAGAATTTCAGGTCACCTGTAATACTTACTATCTCAGTTACTTCAAGGCACAGAATGCTAAAGCCAAATCTTTGTTCTCATTCTATTACTGCATGACAGCATTACCTGGGTTCAGTGGGAAGACCTATCTAACAGTGAATGCTCCATAGGTGTTCCAGTGATGTTTAGGCAGTTTTCACTCAATTTCTTTGCCATTAATGACCTGCACATTAAAATCAGCCTTGCTCAGGTACATGCTACTAGTTAAAATACTACAATGTTAACCAAATGCCCCTGATTTCTTGCGGCTATCCAGCTGGAAACAAAACATCACAGCATGTCTGTAATGCCCTAGCAAAAGCTCTATTCTAACTTCACATTCTCAACCTAAGAGTTTCTACCATTCAATTGTGCATTTGCCTCAACATTTTTTAGACCCACAGCGTTGGGCCATGTCAATAGCTTGCAAAATTCAAAGGATATGCTTAGAAGAAGAGTGCTGTCTAATAAATTTCACATTCTATTTTCTGCAGCACTTCAGTCAGTATTGAAACATGCAGACACAGCCAAGATTTTCAAAAGCAACACAGTGGTCTTGGGCAGACTTCAAAACGGTCAATACTCACAAAAACTGTAAGCCGCTCGTTATCAAGAATGAAACTCAAACCCCAAACCTCAGTCTGTTAGAATATCACAGCTGGGAACTGTGAGACTGAGATACTTCTGAAAATCTTGTATGTGTGATCTGACTATGGGGTTTGTGAGTCTTTGGATGAAACAAACCGAGTATTTCTGAATGTTTCTGAATATTCTAGATCCCATGATTACATTTCACAGGGATTAGCAGAGTAGTCAATTCTAATGCAGTTCTTATGTGAGTAATAACATTAGCACTACATAAATGGTCCTAAAGATTAAACACAGTTAAGTCTTCTTCACGTTATGACTTCAAATTGAGTGACGCTTCTAAAACAAAAAAAAATCTTTAAGATTTTTTTTTTAATCTGAAGATAACTTCATTTGAGAGTATCCTTCATATTGCTTATAAGGCCTTTTTGGGCAACTTAGAGATGACATGGTATGCAAGTTCTTCAGTATGTGAGGCCACATTCAGAAAAGATACCAGATTTGTAAGGACTGCTCTGTCAACCTGAACAAAGAGCTGGTAACAAGCTCATTTGCATGACGGGAGCGCCTGCCATATGATAAGCGCTGTTACTATAAATCGATTTTATATTCTGGTTGAGATTTTCATCCCATTATGATTAAATTTAAATGAATAATTTTAGATTATAAAAACATTTTTTCACTTAAGAGTCGGTGATAATAATTACTTCAATTGAGGCATGGCACTCATAACCAGGACAGTTTTCTCCCACCAGAACATCTGAGAAGGCAAATCAAATTTACTTGCTTAATCTGTATCAATAACTAAAACAGTTTCAAATGAGGGGCAAGCCATTAGTTTATATTATTGTCTGTCAGTAGCTTAAAATGCAGCAAACGAAGCTTAAAATTATTCCTTCTGTAAATTGAATATTCTCCTCCATGCACGTACAATTTTTATTTCGATTTTCACTACAAATAGCTCAGCTTCTAATTACATAGTTGGGCAAAAGTAGCCATTCTGGTCTCTCAGGTACCAAGATTTCCCCTTCCCCCCTTTCTTAATTACACTTAAAAAAACCACCCTACCTAATAGCATACTTACCCAAGAGGCTGAAATAGTATCTCCTGGGTTGAGAAGACGTGCTTTGTTTTGGTTTTGGTCTAATTACATATTTTCCCCAAGAGACAGGAGGAACTCAGAAGAAGCTGTTTCAGTCTCTTGAGTAAATATTAGATGTTTTATGTGCTTTCATGAAAGATTTTTTATTTCTGCTTTTAAAAGACACACAATGAGTTTAAAAGGAAAAAAACCTACATTAAAAGCCAGGAAACTCAAAGTTAAAGCCTACTCTGTCCTTAATGTGCTGCTTCTTACTTACACTTGTCTCAGTTAAAGATGGTATGTGAGCTCTCAATCAATACTCTTTAAATATTGAATAAAATATGTGGCAATGATTATAATCAGGCCAAGAATCTCCTTGCATTATTTCCCATTTTAATTCTAGTTGCAGTGGCCTAATAATGGCATATGGAGCATTTCACCTCTAAAAATCAGCATTTTCAATGAAGCCCAGGTCCGCAGTGACAGGGAATTTGATGGCCGTGTGGTGGTTGCGTGGAACAAGGTTACATGCATCCACATCTTAAAATCCACCACCCTAACTGGCACCCACAAGAGAATCCAAGGACTGAAGAAGCATGGAGACTGAACTACGCTCTCACCCCTAGAGGTGGTCCCTCCAGGTCAGAGTTGAGGCACATTGGCAGGGCAGTGTGGAGAATCTTGCACTGCTGCTACCCGTGCTGAACCTGTTCGATGGATAAATTCAGGACTTTAGTCTCCAGTGCTGTCAAACTGGCATCTTTCACCAGCACTAAGTTCACTTTTAAGAGAAAAAAGAAAAAGGAAATAAAATTTTGGTTATATATTACGAATTTTCACTGGTTAATACGGCTCACTAGCCAGCAGAGCACTCTCTTCTGTCCTTGGTGCTGCAAAGGGAAGGAGGCAGTGGCTGTCTGGCTGCCAAGGCCACAGCGCTGCGCCTGCTACACGGGGACTACCAGCAGCCTTCCAGTCAGACCATCCCCGACACCGCCCTGGCAAGGACCCTGCAAAACCACAAATGGGTTAGGCAACAGGGCTTCCTCCAGTGCACCCCTTCTCTCCATAAACAGCAGGGACTGCCACTGCAAAAAGAAAATAAACAACAGGACCTTCCCACTCTTGGCTATCCATCACTTTAGAGCATCTCTTGAAGCTGCTGATACCAGACCAGAAGGAGAAGCAGGCCCTGTTTGCCATGACAGAACACTACTTTTGAGATTTGGTAATAACAACACTAAAAAAATATCGCCAGGTCCACCTTGAAATTTTCTTCTCACCCCCAGGTCTTATGCTAGATTATGCTGAATAGAGATGTCCTCTGAAATTTTAAGAAAATGCTTAAAAATGAGCAGTAGAGACAGAAATTCCTGATTGTTACATGTTAAGATACGTATCTATACAGCTATAGATATCTTATATGTATATCCTATCTTATAGGTATCTTAAACCACATCCAGGTTTACCTATAAGCCACAACCAATTCAAAGAAACTGCCCAACCACAACGATCACGTGAAAAGCTTACGGCAGCAATCTCCAAGGAGCATTGTTTAAAGCAAGGCGCATGTCATTCCTGGTTCTCTGAACACCCATAAATCCCAACTGTACCTTGTCAGCAGCTGCCAGCAAGTCATCAGCCATTTTGTCAAGATTTGGTGCCTTCCCCGTGTAAATAAAGCACATCATTTCCTTAAAAACTTCAGGCTCCACATCATTGATTTCAACCCGATTCTGTATCAGAAAAATGAAGCTTATTAAGATCCTCACAAGAGGCTAAAGGCTTCCTTCTACCCAAGCTCTTTCAGTATTCAGAAACTGGCTACAGAGACAAGCTATTTAGAATGTGTACTACTTGGAAAAAAGAAAAAGAATAAAAAAGGAAAAGATATGGATGGAGTAAGAAAAATTCTAAGTTGTATTTCACATTCTCTACTTTTCCCTATCCCACCCCAGACTCTTCCCCCAAGAGTAACAAAGGTAACAATTGCCTCCTTGATCCCTTTCTTCCTCCCTTCAGGACAGCTGAAGCAGAGACCTGCATCTAATGTGAGAAAAACAGTTAAAAGGTGACAATCGTCACAAACACTACCTAAGAAAGTTATCTGACCAGTGATGCTAAGAGTTGACTAGAGAGCTATTCACCTAGCCGGAGAAGTTCTCCTTCCTTCAGGAACTTACCTTTTTACTCTCTTCCATCTCATGCTCAAACATGGCGCTGAAAACTGGGGAACGTGCTACGGCAGTGGGGAAAATAAAACATAGTTAGACATGCTCTTTTACTCTTCAGAAGGAGCTAAGCGTAGCCTGCCAACACCTCAACAACTGTCCTGCTACTTAATGCAGGAAAAATTCTCCTATAGTAGATAGGGCAAACTGGGTACAACTGATAAAGGAGTACAGGTTGTGACATAATGGAATGTAGCCGATGTAGCTTCAAACTGGGTATGGGAGAATTTCTTATGTCCTTTCGACCAAGGCTGAAGAGTACATGGGTGGTAAGGTATGTTTCTTGACTTTACAAGAAAGTATTCATCTGGAAATGTGGTAACTTCTCCTTACAAACGCTTTAGGAATACACTGTAGGTACACTACAGCCACAAAAGAATCCTCCTACCATCCTCGCCATGGCAGGAGGTAGGCAATTACAAACAGAGGAGGTATTTCCTCTCTCCCTGTAACAGTTCACAAAACGGTCTTTTACTACAGCTCTGCAGTTAAAAGCGCTGCAGAAGCCCCCTTTAAAGATGAAGTAACTCAAAAAAACCCACTTGTTTTGCCATCATGTTGTTGTCTCCTATCCCGCGCTAAGGCCCATCCAACTCAATACCGACCTGCTAGTATGGCTTTGTGAGCCTGGAACTCCTGGCCTGCAACGCACAGACAGCAGTCCGTGAAGCGTGAATTCTCCCAGAGTCCTCCCAACTCATCTGCCAAGCGGCACTCTGGTACCTTCACCATGTTCATAGTGTTCTGGCCGGAGATATTGACAGAGTCCTGTACCACACTCACCTGGAGGGGAAAAGAAAGCAAACAAACTCAAAACTCAAAAACCCACACTGGAAAACGGATCTCCCTACCGGAAGTTTTTATTTCCAGGGCAGGTGAAGGGAAACGCAAAGCAAAACCCACACCTCTCAAGCAGAATCACTGTATGATTAAAAATGTAGACGTTTTTAAGGCATCCTTTCTACCCTGCCTTAACCTTGTTCTCTGCTCCTCCAGCGTGTCTATCCCAAGTCCTAAATCACACCAGCAGATTTTCTTCTTGACCCCAGATTAACAGCACTTCTATGCAATTTAATCACAACTTTATTAGATGGTTTCTTAAGGAAGTGGAACCTTATTTTTCTGCTTTTACAGACATCACACCTGACCTAGTTTTTTTCCTTCTATCAACACTCTGAAACCCTCCCCAATCAATAATGCAATACAGACAGCAGTACGTATGAAAATGAGGTATACAGAGAGCTTCTATAACTGAGCACTGAATCCACACATGTATGTGCAACGGCAGTGTCTGGCCTCCCAAATGTCTCGCTGCTTCTGGTTCTAAATTTCTTAGAGTTCAACGCTTCCATCACGTTACAGATTAAAATGAACCCCCCCCCCAAACAGTAAGTTTAAAAAAGCAGCTTTACATCAAGTAATTAGGAAGATTTGGGGAAGGCAGATAGATTCCTTGTCACCTGCTTCAAAGCATACACGTTAGGCAGGGACCATAAGTAGCCATACTGGCTGATGAATAACCTATACAAAGGGAACCGTTAAGAGCCTATTCAGCACCAAACCATTATTGTTAAACACGGAGTAAATCATACGCCTTCTACAGCAGACTCCAATTAGAAAAGATCAGAGTGACTAATACTACCCCGCTATAGCTATAACAAAGAATAAAGGAAGAAGCTGATTGACAGGGAAGCGTACGTGAGACTATTTCCTGGGTTCGCTGTCAAGTCCAAGTTAAATTTCAGTTCTATTAATAACCAATGGCCAGAGAAGAACAACGGACAGCAAAGGAAGCTTCACGGTTATGTAAAAGGAGAAGTAAATTATGAAGTGAGAGAGATGACAGAAGCATCTTCTAAGGAAAAAACCTGCTGACAGCACATACCCCAACTCTTGAGAAACCTCCAGTGGGTTTCTGATGGCAGACACATCTTGTATAAATTATACAACACTCAAAACCAAACAAATATCAGATGCTGCTTGCCAAAGGACACTAATGATTAGCCAGAGCAAATGTGAGGAAGCTAATATTCTTCATCGTTAATTTGACAGCTACATCACCTTTTTGCCCTGTGACATCTAGACCAGCAACATGGACTCAAGGATGGATGAAAACTCATCAGATTCATTAAAAAGGAATTCTAAGATGTAGATCCCTTGCTGGAATCCAATACTGATTACAGACCAGCCAAAAAAGACTTGCGAACTGTGTCTCAAATCAACAAATAAATCCTCTTCATATATGGAAGTCAGTCAGTTACTGTCATGAAAATCTATTACATGGCTTTTTATGTAAGGAGTTTAGACTGGTAGATTCCAAGTGGTGACCAGCCTTAGAGGTTAAAATAGCTAAGGTTTTGCTTAAGCTATTTTCAACATCTTAGCAAGGGAACCAATGCTACCTAGCTTAGAAGAGAGCTATTACCGTAACTTTGGGAAGGCCATTCTTTTTGGAGATTTACCAGAATGATATTTACTTATGATGTTGGAATATAATTTAAACAGCAAAAAGTAATGCAGTTGGGATATGAACAATCAACCCCACCTGCGAAACAGAGGTTGAAAAATCCCCAAACTGACAACTAAATGAGGTCAGATTTGAAATGCTTGACAAGGAACATCATTCTCTGCCTTAACAGCGTTTTCAGCAAGGTCTGTGTTCAGCACCAGACATGAGCAGAGAACAAAAGACTTTTTCCTTTTAACTTTAATAAAGCAATAAGAAGGTGCAGCAAGAGACACTCAGCAGCCTTCCGGTCTACAGAAAACTCCAACATATCCCCACATAACAAGCATCTCAACATCCAGTATTGCTAACTCCTTAGAGAGTTTCTACATACAAAACATGCTTGCTAAAAGTACAGATGCGAGCAGCATCACTTGGCACCTGTGGCCAGCAGGGAAGCATTAGGAGAGCATATGGCACACCGGTTTACATGTTAAGAGACTTACTTACAAGCTCAGGGAAGAAAAAGGAGAAAAAAAAAAAGAAAAGGAGGGGGAAAAAAACCCAAACCCAAGCTGTTGAAAGTTCTTGCCAAACTGTTTCCAGACAGCAAAACCTTCCCCTCTGATACCACTAAACTTAAGATTTCTTACATGCTAGACTGTAGAACAAACTGAAAGAGAAAACAAGATATCAAGGCCAGGTGAAGCCAGCAGCAAGTTTCCTTTTCATCCAGAACAAACAAAAACATGGAGCTGAAGCTTTTGAAGGGAGTAGTTCAGTAAAGAGTGGAGTGACTTGAATTAGTACTAGTTGCCAAGACTACTGGTGGATCTCAGGTTTATCTACATCGCACCTCGCAAATTCCCTTCTCAGACATTAATTTTTGAGTTTCACTCCACAATTGTAAGTTTTCTGGCTCTTATCATGAAGGAAAGAGTAATTGCCAGACCTACAGAGGTGTCATCCAAGACACTGTCCTCTCCTCCTCCCATATTGCTATAAGTGTTAAAGGAAAGGCTCCCTCCACGACAGTAATAATTTATGCTACTGATTAAATACACATCCTTTAGATGTTTGTTAATTTAAGTATGTGCATGCTTATGATGGCCAAACGAAACTGGAAAAAAAAACCCAAACAAAAAACCAACCCAAACCCCAGCTGTCGAACAACTTTGAAGCATTTCTTTCACTCCTGAAAGAAAACACAGCAAAAGAAAAGACTCCCATAAAAACCACTGCAGGAGATCCAAAGAGAGAACAACTTGTTCTACCCGTCTTCTGGCAAAAATTACAGCTACAGGAGGTATTTTGCAGTTAAAAAGACAATGGAAATAAGACAGCAGAAGCTCCAAAGACACTAAATTAGGGAGTTTAAGTTTGCTCATTAAGGTTTCTAAGCTTAAATATGTAGTTTTAGAAATAACTGTCCACATCTTTGTCTGAAATTAGTATTAGTGAAATAATAATTTTGTAAGCAGTTGTAGAAAAATACAAACACAATGAACAGAGAATTGTGGTCACTGTAAAATTCTTTTTTCTTAAATTCTTTTAAAAATTTTTCTTTTTGTTGGCTGTATAGACATACTTAGGAAAATAAAGAAAACTCTTCTTTATTCAGTAGGCAAGTAATAGGCGGGCCAGTTTCCACTACAGAGCTAGTGTTGGTTATTATCCCAAGTGAGTTTCAAATTAAGGAGTACAAACAGATGGATGATAACACTAAACCAGAAGTGAAATGATAATCAAACATGCTTAATTCCTATCATCATCACCACACGTAAAAGACAAATATAAAGTAACAAAAAATAAATGGAAGTGAAATGTGATGAATCACAGAGAGAAAAAGCCACCAGCCGCATGCGCTCACACACACACACACACGCACAAATAAAATCTAAGTGCCATATAAACATCCAGTATTTCTCCCGATACCTCTGACTCCTTAAAAGCAATGATGAAAAATAAGGTCACATCTACCTTAAGCTAATGGAACTGCTATTCTTTCAGCTGCACAGGAAGGCTTACCTCACAGAAGAGAGTGAGTTTGTCATCTGGAAGAAGTCCATTGGCTTCATCCAAAAGAAAGTCTCTCCTAATAAATTTTTTGAATCCCCAGTCCTTGCCTTGTACAAATCGATATGCTCGCTGGCTCTCTGAAAGGAAGATATGGTGCTTTAAACATCAGCTGAGTGACTCGCTTGATCAAACAGCAAAAGACAAACAACTGACCCCATCAGACAGAAAGAGTTTTTACACACCCATTGCTTTTGTTTCTTCTCCTTTAGCATTCAGGATGGAGAATTTGAACTTTGCTCGAACTTCACTTTTTGGACAGCTCACCAGCAACAGATAGAGGGATAGATAATCTTTACTTTCTTCATCCAAGCCTTTAGGGTTCACACGTAAACACCTGTAGAAGCAGGCATCTGAATGAGATGTCAGGAACAGTTTTTGGCAGGTCATTCATAGCTTTCAAAGAAAGGGCATTGTGGAATTTTCACAATAAAATGTACAGCAAACAAGTTCTGTTTAACAGCCACTGAACCGCAAAGAAGTAACAGGTAAATAGAGTGGAACTGCATGTTACAGTCAGGCTCATGCTACATCTCCAAGACAAAAAATAATATAAAGGCAGTAACTACGGGCAAACCAATTAAAAAAAAACATGGGGGAAAAGAGGAGGGGGGTATGGTTTAAATTACTGAAAAGCACCCTGGATGTCAAGTTTCACAAAAGGAAAGTGAAAGAAATAGTAGAATGGAGGCAAGGGATTCGAGGAATTGCAACAAATCCAGAGAAACGAGAGGTAAAATTCCACAGGAAGCAACTGAAAGGAAAAATGGATTTCTGGAAGGCTGGTGGGTTCTCAAAAACATAATACTAGGGCAAAAAGAGAAGAAAACTCCTGTGTGAAGAAAAGGTAGTAAGTGCAGGAAGAGGCTAACTCATAAGCACTTCCATGACATGAAACTTGACACAGAACCTAACAAGAAGCAAAAACTAGGCCAAATGACTAACAGCTCAAACACACAAGGACAAAAAAAAAAAAATCAGAAAGATCTAGACATTAGAATGAGGTCTGACTAGCAAAGGTTATAAAGGTAAGTAATTTAATAACAAAAAGCAGTCCAAGGAAAGCACAGGTCTGCCACCCAAAGGAAGGGAACACAAATTGTAACACACACACACAAAATTATTTAGTGGCAATTCGCTGCAATCTACACTAAGGAGGTTTAAAGAAAAATGCTAAAACACCAACGCAGGATAAAATAAGGAACCAGGTGCCCATGGATCTACTAGGTCAGACACGACTCACAGTAGATACACATTCTGACCAAAGCCCACTCTGAGTTACTGGAAATTACTCGAGAACTCAGGGAAGAAAAGAAAGGTTTTAAAGGAAAGAAAAAGGTAAAAATAATGTCATCTTTAAGAAGCAGAAACTCCTGGGCAGGAGGAGTTATAGAACATGGAGATGATCAAAGTAACAATGTTAAGTCTCTGCATTCACAAAAAGCTGCCATAAAGAGAAAGGTAATGCAGTAGCAATAGTCTTAAATTGCAGGATTTAGAGTGCAGGCAAAAATTATCTTTTTAACAACATGGAGTATTAGGGACTGAAACTGGGAGGCTGAAACAGAGCTTGAATACACTGGCTGTGGACTCTCATTGGCTTATAAGAACTTGTGTTAAGATAAACATTAGTCAAAAAATCCCCAACTTAAGACATTAATAATCCTCCATGGCACATCTCTGCTTCAAGGCAGGATGTAGTCTCTCTTCCAGCTATGGCTTCTATTACTTCTGATGTTTTCCATTATCAGAGAAACACTGCAAACAGCCAGATCCTCACGTTTGCTTTGTGTGTCCAAACACTATGCTGAAGCAACAGTACTTTCTTCCTGTGCATATGTTGTACATCCAAGGAAGCAAGAACCCGTGTGCAGCACAAGTATTTTTTTAATATACTTCCTCTGTTATAGAAGCCCAAATTCTTTCACACAGTTGTACAAACAGGGTGAACCTCTCTGCTCTATTTCTTACCATTTGAGTTTATCATTGGCTCCAGATGAAAAGGTTGAGCTTTTGATGACCTCACCCATTTCTTCTCGGCAGAAGCTGAAGTTGTTTATGGTCCACATGTAGGAAAACTTGACCACCTTGATCTTAATACAGAGGATAATAGGCAGTTTAGGGTCCACCTCCATCCACCCTGGCCACCTCAAAGGCAAAAACTGAAAACCTGGAAGTTTTACTTAGTCACTTGTGTGACAAAGCACAAGACAACAGAGTCTGGAAATGGCTGGCAGTGGCAGCTGGACCACTCCAACTTCTCCAACTGCCTCCTCCAAAGTTCTGCCAAGGGCAGAGGGCAACATTCTGCTGTTGCCTTGGTGAATGCTCACTGTTAGCAAGCATGACATTGACTGAAAATCCAGACTCTAAACTTGTTTTGAATAAATTTCTTACCACAGGTTCTAATCGCGTAACTGTGCGCAGAATATCTCCGCACAGTGTGGACTTACCTGAGTGTAGCACCAGCTCTCTGCTACAGGTCCACTCGACATTTCTGCCGGAGGAGGAGGACTCGGCACCCTTGACATCGCCAGTTTGAAGATTAAACAGAATTTCACAACTCAGTAGAAGAAATTTATAATTGATCTTCACCCTGTCAGTCCCCAAAAAGAGAAAAAAACCAAAACTAAGAACAAAGAAAAAAACTTCCGGAGTGCTGTTAAATCTCATGGGACAAAAGTTAAAGCCATCATGCCTTCTCCCTCCCCCCCTAGCACCTTCAAAATATGATGTTACATTTAAACATTTTAAAGTGTTACCATATGTTTTCTGAAGAGGGGATATACCACCTCCACTCATTCTTTCAATATGCAGCTCCTTATAGGAATAAGCCTAGCATATAATTTCCTTTACGAGTCCAAGACTCAAATAGGAGACTCCCCACTTGACTTAGAATTTACTACTTTACCCTGAGGCCACCATTTCAACTCACTACTTACTCCCTATTTTCATTTTGAGTCTCAGACTATCAGAGATCAGATGTGACAAATGAAGTTCTTAATCTGAAAAAGCTACAGGTAGCAACATGCAACCCAAACTCAACAGCAAAATGAAACCCTAGGTTCAGAGTGACTCCGGTAACATCAACAGAATAATTTCCTATAGTTTAAACCTTCTCCTGAAGCCTTACTGTTAGGGAAGGTGTTGGTAATGATTTCTCTACTTCAAACTGAATCCCTTTGGCCAGAGGGAAATTCTCATTGTCTTTATATGCTAGTGAAGTTCCCAACTTCTAAGTGCCGAGTCAAATTGTCATCTGCAGAGAACATATGGGGTTAAAACCACGGCTACACACCTGAATGAGTACACAGGCACAACTGATAAAACAGGCATCTAGTTACCAGAAGGGAGGTTTTAAAACAGAATAATCAACCCATCTCTGACTTCTGAGTCCTGATCCCTAAGGCAGATAGATACACAAAACGTCTTCAAAGATGAGCTCGAAAACTAGGATTCGTGACTTTGGCAGATATAAAAGCATCACATGCCTTACAGTTTAGCCTTCTGCTAAACACTTTCTGTTTCGCAGGTGGTATTTATCTGCCTTCCGCTTACTGCACAGGAGAGCCAGTGAACCACAAGAACTCCATTGCTGTTAGTTTTGTCCTCAAAAGGATTAAAAAAAAAAAAGGGTGAGTAAAAGACAAAATTGTTATCTTGCAATACAAATTGCTTTAAATACAAAGGCTGATATTGAGGTTCGTTGGGGGAGAAAGGTAAAGCACAGGCTTTACCTCCTCGCTCTTGAGGAAGGCCGAGTCATTAGCTGTTGAAAGGAAATGGTGGAAAGCATAGGGAATATATACCTAAAAACCCCACACCTCAAAACAACAGGAGAATATTCACAATAAGAACATAAACATATATGCACATAATTCCCCCCAAACTGCTGTCAACGTAATTAGGAGTCTTTAAGTGCAGTAGCAGGGCAGGTCTGGATTTGAGTGCAGGCTCCAGCTGCAGACCAGACCTCTCCCAAGCAAGGCTTGCATCAGCCTCCACTCCAGTTTTTGGCTGCGTACGTGGGTTTTGAGTTCTATGCACCTTCAGAAAGTACCTGGAAATACTGGTACACAGGCATCATCTAATAGTAAGACAAGAGTGGGGTTTTCTTCAGGTTTAATTTCCTTTAAAAAAGCACAAGTGAGCCCATGTAAACACTGGGGAAAAAAAAAAAAAAGAGATACTGGCTATCAGGAGCTAAGAAATAAGTATTTAACCCTGCAGAGACACACATTTAACTCGATGGAAATTTATTTCCTGGAGCAAAGCTCAGAGGCAAACAACTAACGCCATAAGATCTGAACTGCAGACAACTTGCACTAATGTAAAAAAAAAAAAAAAAAGAAATCAACATTTTAAAAAGAAAGGGACATCAATATGCACTTTAGGTACTTGCTGTAGGTTTTATTACATTAAACTTAAAATTATCACAATTCCTGCAAAGAAATTCAATTAAACCACTCTGTGTCATTCAAATGAAGCCAAAATTAGCAGACACTAGTTTTGAATACTTGGCTAACTGCCCTTCCACGGGCAACATTCAGTCTTGCCTCCGAGGACATCACCGCTTTACTGTCTCCAGTCACAGGTCTTTGAGGGGCAGATAAAACCTGAAATTCCAGCACAAGCAGCAAGAAACACCTCCTCCTCACCACGGCTGGGGAAGGGATGCCTTTTTGCTGGTTGTAGTCTATGGGGAGGAGAGACCCAAGCTTTTTCCTTCCCCTCGGGGTTCACAGAAGCACTGCTCAACTCCACCCAAGCTGTTACATTGTTCTGTTCACAGCTATTTTTAATCTACATTATTCCAGTGATCTGTTTTATAGCACAGGCACAAACGACAGGGACAAACTCCTGAGAGGGTAATAAGCAGCCAGGGAAAGGATGAAGTTTCTTAAGCTTACCTCCTCACTGACGGCAACCTGTCTGCACACTGAGCAACAAGATGCTAAGCCTAATGAAAAGGTTTGACCAGAAGAAAACACAACGAATAAATAAAACACGAGAGTGGGATGTGAAATTAGATTTTTTTTGTTGTTGTTGTTAAAACTGTAGTTAGTTTCAGTGATTTTAGTTTTTAACTAACATCTTTTTACTCAAACTACTTGCAACACGGAAGTATTCAGGTCTCTTAAAATACTTCCTTATGCAGAGTGAGAAATAATGCAACTTTTATTTAAGAAGCATTAGAGGGATGAAGAAAAGACATAAAAATAACTTAGCTTAAAATAACTTTTGAATTCTCTGAAACAGCGACACTGTGGCCCTCCATACACCTCCCCGTGTACCTGGCCAAAATGGAGGTGCGAATGAAACCTCAAGCCACAACAACCTACTCAGTCTTCCTCCTAACAGGGATTTTGGGCACAGCCCATCACTGCGAGACACCCTAAAGCTCCATGTTTAGAATGGCCGGAGACAGCAGTGCAGCAGCAGTGTCCATCAGCATCTTCCCGGCGACTCTGTGAGGCCACAATGCTGTTCTCCTTGCCTGGCTTCAGAATAATTACGAGGAACAGATCCAGAACAGTTCAGGTAAGGAACCGATTTCCACATAAGTTATTTATCAATAATAAGCAGTTTTCTATAAGAAGACTTCTACTTCCAGGTAAACTGGAGCAATTAAATATCTCTACACACACATTAGAGAAGTGGTTTAACACGAAAGGTGATCACACAGTTAAAAGACTCCAGTGGGTCCTTCTTGAAGACAGATTGGTAAATTTAGTGTTAACACCTCCTTTTATGGCATGAAAATGAGGGATTA